CCTCTTGCAGAGAGGTGGAGTTCAGAAAATATTTGCAGAGTGAATTCTTCTGATCATCAACAGAGATCAGAACTGACAGCCAGAAGTCCTCCAATAAATAGTTTTGTCAGTTGCAGTCATGCCCTGGGGCCTGACATTTGCCCATTGCTAGCACCTCTGATTGTCTCTTGGCAGCAAAGCATAAATGGGAAATGGCTTAGCACACACTGCTTTCGAAATCTTTTGCAGAGAGAGTGCAAACATGTATTTAATTACCTTTCAGCACAGGAAGGCTGGAAACTAATTGACATGATTAATTTATGTCTTTGTTTAGGTTTCCCTTGAAACTGATCCTGAGACAAATATTGTAGTGGAGGTAGTTTATTTGGATGTTGGCCATGGGAGGGGGACCAAAATATACCAGTAGGGGAGAAGCAGAGAAGGAAACCAAAAAAGAACGGCATTCTCCAACCAGCAGCCACCGTGGGAGACTGGAGCGCGCACCCACAGGGGTCCTGCAGAATGCAGGATGGGAAAGGAGGGAAGTCTTCTTCCATCTGCTAGCTGAGTGACCTTTCAAAGGCTCCAGAGAAAGCCCTCAGGCAAAGAGGTGCAGGGTCTGGCAGTGGGAAGGAAGCTGGGGCACTAACATGTAAGGACTGAGGGATAAAGGTAGATAACATCAGCTCCCTCTAATCTGCCAACTCCTCTAAGTTTTTAGACAATAAAGGCTTATAAAGAGGTTCTGGCTAGGTTCTCCTCCCCGTGGCATTGTAGATGTCGGGATCCTTGGTGGTCCAGTCTTCAGAGCTTCTCAAGTTGTATGACTCAGTGTTTGGGGGGATCCTGTTGGTTAGGGAATTTCTGGAGGATCTGAAGGCCTGGCCTTTCCTTTTCCGTTTGTCAGGATTACCCAACTCAGGGTACTGGGGATGGTTCGGGAACCTCAGCCGGCAGGCCACTCCACTCTGCAGACCTCCTGGGGGGCCACAGAGAACATTCCCCTGTCCACCACCAGCAGCCTGACAAAGGCTGCCTCCGGGAGCACTGCAGGGCCCTCTCATTTGCCTGTTTCCT